ACCCTAAGACATGACCCAGAACGCATTTAAAACGATTTAAAGAACTTTAATGGCGGTTGAATGGGGAAGAAGGAAGGAAACTGATATACTTTCGGTAGAACGCTCCTTACATTACAGCAAAGATCTGATTGACATTATCTGATCTGAAAAATAATTCGGTATAGATATAGTGAACTTTAAAAAGATTACAGGGCTGTGACGTATCCAAGTACCCTTATTTTTGTTTAATGTAAGTTATTGATCACACCTCATATATCCACAAGTTGGACGTCAACTAAGAAGCCATAACTGAAAATAACCAATTTTTTAAATAAAAAAAATAGAATATTTTCGTCATTTTTGCTCAGGCCAAGGTTTTCCGGGTACCCTCGTGCATCGGCCGGACATAACACTCTATAAACGAGGAGTCCCTTGAAGTGACATCAACAGTCAATTAAAATTGTTCAGGTTATATATTCAGATTCTTAATTCTAAGGGGTACATAACTAAATAAAAGTTTTAAACGTTTTATTAGTTTTATAAAATATACATATTTAGTGCTTTAAAAACAACATTTAATCAAAATGTAAAAAAATGTTCATGCACCTTGTAGATATCTAGCAGAAGAGAGAGGATGTTTCTGTGTGGAAGGTTGCCCACAGTCGCATGCAACGATTTAATTTGAGATAATTTTATCAGATTTATCAGATTACTCCACATTATTTCAGGCGTTCCTATACAGGGTTAACCACATAAAATGAGACTTTTCTGCCGACCTAAAACTCTTTGATCTAAGTTGAAGTGGATCCTTGGTCTCTTGAATATCATTTATTAAGGGTAAACTAAATCAAACAAGTTTCCAGATGCTTTGAGCCGTTTTTCCAAGCAAAAAATAATGAAAAAAACAGTTTGAAAAGTCTCATCACTTGAGGGTAACACTGCATATAAAGTTGTAACCTCAGTTTGCCTGTTTGTCTCTTTGATTGTTAAATGTCCGATCTCATGAACCCCTTGACCGATTTGTCTCAAATTTTGATGGGGGAAATGAATTGAGTCTTTGTAACAAATTCGGATTTTCTAATACTTATATTTTTTCCACCTGATGGTCTAAACCTTTGATATTTCAAACTTAGATTTTTTCACACCAACAGAATTAATAGTTTGAAATATCTAAGGTCAACGGCATTGGATTACAAAGATACAGAGATTAGAAAATCATAGTTTTTGACAAAGACTCAATTCCTTTGTGGAACCAGGCAAATGATTGGTATTTATTATTGTATAGATCTCCAGAAAAAAACTGGGTTTAAAAACTAGCCTAAATGAATTCGGGACTCGGGAGGGGGAGGGGGGCTTCACATAAAACAGTGGTAACCTATTTAATGCAAAATAATTGCCGTCGTCGATCTTTCTCTTTTAATAAAACGTGATCTAGATAATTTTCAGAGATCTACAATAATTCAGTTACAAACGAAATGAGTTTTTGTCACAAAATCAGATTTTCCGATCCCTATATCTTTTCAATTCAATGTCGTAGACCTTTGATATTTCAAACTAAAAATTCTGTTAGACTTAGATCAAATAAACTAAGTTTGAAATATGAAAGGTTTAAACAATCCGGATGCAGAGATATAGAGAAATTAGAAAATTTACCTTTGTGGCAAAAGCTCAGTTCCTTAGAAAACCCTAAACGATTTTTTTAATCAAAATTTAGAAGGAATTGACAACAATCATTCCACTTCATGAAATTCTAACATCGTGGTATAAATAGCTATAAACAATTGTGCTGCTCTAATTTTTCGAATAACCTATAAATTATTGGTTCTCTTTATTAACTTTTTATATTTTCTTTTATGTCAGATTGTTAGAGTATTTCAACAAGCTAGCTGAAAAAAAAACAATCTCATCTGTAGACTGTACGGTAGGTAGGTATATATTATAGTTATACTGGACTGTCCTTGTAAATTCAGCGACCTCACATATAAAGAGGGGCATGTACAATTCATAAAGGGACTCTAGTACCTTTATAAAATGCACATTGAAGCCCAGGGGCGGATTCGGCTTTTTGAAAAAAGGGGGAAGGTGGCCAAACTCCCAGTAAAACTGTGATGGAGGGGGGGGAGGGAGCACCGTGCGAGCTTTTCGGTAAGAGTATCAATAAAATCTACGTGAAAACCGGAGTTCAAACCAATTTACAGAGGTCAAAAATATTAAAAATTGGCCAAAAAAAATGTTCTCCATTTAAATTTTTCTATTCTCAAATATAAATTTAATAAAAATATGTTTTTTTTTTCTTTAAATCGGTCAATTTTCAATATTTTTATATTCTGAAATTTGGTTTGAATAAGGGAAAACAACTCAGTTTAAAAAATACCCATGTATTGAATATCTGTTTAACATTTTCATTTTCATTTGTATTAGTCCATTTCAGGGAGCCGTTAATGATTTTTGTAAAAATTACATTTTTAAAACATGCCAATTCACCATGTACACTCCAGCTCATTTCATGTACCGACCGGGCCAAATCTAAACTAGCCCTGAAGCAAGCTGTACTGCAGTACAGATACAGACTATATAGTAAATACTATATCAGACAAAACAGGACAGTACGTCAAATGGATAATCCCCTTTTTGTGAAATGTCTGTGAATTAGAATTCCAAGTAGAATTATTTTTTCGTCTAAAAAATTATTTCTATAAAACTTTCACAAATACCGTCGGGTTTCAGATTTTCAACAAATTTTTGCTTTCAATCAATGCAGTAACAAAGTTTTTCCTAAAATACTGCTGGGTTTAAGATTTGAAATATTCTTTTTTGTTTCAACCACTGGGTTTAAGATTTTTCAGCAACTTTTTTATCTTTCAACCGCTGGTGTTAAGTTTTTTTCAGCAACTTTTTTTCTTTCAACTGTTGGGTTTAAGATTTCAACAAATTTTTGCTTTTAATCAATGTAACAAAGTTTTTCTTAAAATACTGCTGGGTTTTAAGATTTGAAATAATTTAATTGCTTTCAACCGCTGGGTTTAAGTTTGTTTAATACCTTGTTTTCTTTCAACCTTATTCTTAAAGAAAAAATATATTTCTTTTTCCAATCTGAGACCCAGCAGCATTTTAAGAAAAACTTTTTCCCATGGATTGAAAGCAAAAATTTGTTGAAATCTTAACCCAGCGGCTGAAAGCTAAAAAGTTGCTGAAAAATCTTAAACCAAGCAGTTGAAAGAAAAAAAATTTCTTTACAATCTAAAACCCAGCAGGATGTTAAAAAAAAATATTTTCCTAGCTTTGATTGAAAGCAAAAATTTGTAGAACATTTTAAACCCAGCTGTTGAAAGCTAAAAAGTTGCCGACAAATCTTAAACCTAAATTTTGAAAGAAAAAAATTTGCTGAAAAAACTTAAAAACCAGCGGTTAAAAGCTAAATAGTTGCAGAAAAATCTTAAACCCAGCTGTTGAAAGAAAAAAAATATTTTTCAAATCTTAAAACGAAAGAAAACTTTTTTCCATTAATTAAAAGAAAAAATTTGCTTAACATCTGAAACCCAGCGGTTGAAAAAAAAAGTTGCTGAAAAAATTAAAACCTGCGGTTGAAAGCTAAAAAGTTGCCAAAAAATCTTAAACCTAGCGGTTGAAAGAAAAAAAAATTATTTCCAATCTAAAACCCAGCAAGATGTTAAGAAAAAATATTTTCCTTTGATTGAAAGCAAAAATTTGTAGAACATCTTAAACCCAGCTGTTGAAAGCTACAAAGTTGCCGACAAATCTTAAACCTAGCGGTTGAAAGAATAAAAGTTGCTGAAAAAACTTAAACCCAGCAGTTGAAGGAAAAAAGTTGCTGAAAAAACTTAAACCCAGCATTTGAAAGAAAAAAGTTGCTGAAAAAAATTTACAAACCAGCGGTTGAAAGTTGCTGAAAAATCTTAAACCCAGTGGTTGAAAGAAAAAAAAATCATTTTTCAAATCTTAAACCCAGCAGTATTTTAAGAAAACTTTTTTTCCATTAACTAAAAGAAAAAATTTGTTGAACATCTAAAACCCAGCAGTTGAAAAAAAAGTTGCTGAAAAACTTAATCCCAGCGGTTAAAAGAAAAAGTTGCTGAAAAATCTTGAAAGCAAATAAATTATTAGATAAGATAAAGTTTATTGCTAAAATAAATGTATCTGTATACAGATAGAGTTTACAATCACAAAATTAATTAATAATTAATTATTTTAAATCTTAAACCCAGCAGTATTTTAAGATTCCATCGAATGAATGCAAAAAGATGTTGAAAATCTGAAACCCAGCGGTTGAAAGCAAAAAAACTGTATTATCTCAGTGAATGAACTAATTAAAAACTTTCAAAAAGTATATAAAAATGTAAACGAAAAAAGTACGAATTTAGTGGTTGAACAAATCTTAAATTTGAGAAAAAAGTTGCATTTCTTAATCTAGACTGCGTAGAGTCTAAGACTTGATCTCAACCGCTCATTCAACTGCTCCCGCTGAGTTTTTATCTTCAAAGTATATATCATTCCATTGTTCACCAACATTTTCCTGATTTCCTGGAATTTTTATTGAAATGACGACATTTAAAGAATTTAAAGAAATCTGCGAACAAATTCTTAAAGAATAAGAAATTCAATATAATGATGAAAAAGAAATAAATAATTCTAAAGTTAATTTATTGAGAAAATTTCAAATGAGAAATATGGTCTTAACTTCTTAACCATCTAATTTATAGTTTACTATAGATTTTTTTTACATTTTTTGTCGTCGTTATATAATAATTTATAAAAATCGATTTTCAAAACATGACCACCCAAATGGATGATTTTGAACGCCGACTTTGCACTCAAACTCAGTTCAACTACCATACATTGCAGGTCACTTCCTGATAAAGTCGAAAGTAAAATTAAGAAAATCATTAAAACAAAGGTCCAAATCCCTGTCTTGTTCTACGTAACCCCCCCCCCCCATTGTTTTGCCCCTAATGAATCTTCATTCTGTGTATATGTACTGCGGATTGCACTGTGTACAATTAAAAGTGTACGCTCATTACACTATTGTTCTTTGTTTAGTGGATTTCCCCTGACAGAGGTGTGAGGTGACATATAACTAGAAGGTTATAGAGGTTACTTAGCATTTAATACATCTTGGACTGCCCTTGCAAATCAATTTTATTATTGCAAAGATTCGAGAGTTTTTTTATATAGTTTGCGAACCCAACGTTGCCAAGGGTATTAATAGCTGCTCCCGGCGTTTACCCGCTCTTGGTTGTAAATTACGATTTTAGCTTTTTTAAGTGGACCTACTCAGCTTTGAATCTTAAACAAAGCTAAGGATATTCCCGTGGCGCTCTTTCAGTGCCCCAATCAAAATTTGAGGCAAATCGGTCAAGGGGTTCATGATTGGACTGATAGTTAGTCAAGTAATAATGATATTGATAGTTTACCATATGAAACTGATAGTTTGTCATATGATACTGATAGTTTGCCATGTGGCACTGATAGTTTGTCATGTGATACTGATAGTTTGTAATGGGATACTGATAGTTTGTCACGTGATACTGATAGATTGTCATGTGGCACTGATAGTTTGTCATAGGATACTGGTTATAGTTTACATATGATACTGATAGTTTGTTTCATGATACTGAAAGTTTGTCGTGTGATACTGATAGTTTGTAATGTGGCACTGAGAGTCTGTTAAGGGAAACTGATAGTTTGTCATGTGATACTGATGGTTTGTCACGTGATACTGATAGCTTTTCACGTGATACTGATAGTTTGTCCTGATGAATCTACTTGTGATATAAACTATCTGTCACATGTTTGTCATCCCATAGAGATAGTTTGCCTTGTGATAAAGATGCTTGCTGTGTTATAATTGACAGTTCAGTTGAACATTGCCTCACTCTAATTTATATAAATACTCTGTAGATGGAAACCAGTATAATCATCGATACTAGTCGGCGGGGTCAAACCAGGAGCTTGGGTAGGCCGGCCAACCCTTTACCTCAACTCTTCATGGAGTCGGAAGAAACTAATCTCAGGTAAAAACATTGAGCGAATGATTAATTTAGAACTTTGTGTTGTTAATCTCCTGACGAAGCATTGATCTACATCTTGTACAGATCTACAGATTTATTTAATTCCTCTGCAATATCCCTTCCTGGCAATGCCCTTCAGGGATTATCCTCCTAAACTTAAAATGCCCACATTGTATAATAAGATTAAGCATTCAAGAATAACGATAATCCAATTTTACTCAAAAGTTACAACCTTACTTGGATCAATAATTCCTCTTCGTAAATCATGGCTTCTTAAACAATGCTTCCTATAGATTTCCTATCGGAGTGTTTTTCTTTTTTCCGTCCGTCTAGTTTTTATATAAAATGTTTCATATATATATGCAGGTATCGGAAGGATCCCGTGAACCCTGGAACCCCAGCCAACAGTTTCCAGGTTGGCATTTAACAATGAAATCAAATTGGAAGAAAGCACTGGCTATCATGGATCAACACTTTAAATAAAGATTTTTAAGATTTACAGGGTTACTGTATAAATTGCAACGGCAGTCCATTTCACGACGAGTTCCTCAACTGATTTTAAAATATTTGATTTCTGAGTCTAAACTTATTATTTTAATTAAAACATCTAAATTGTGTATTTTAGACTCCTAGTACGGAGAAGAGAATCGTTCTAGAAGAGAATAATATGGATTCCGGGTTGGGAGGTTGGGAGCCTTTCAGTAGTACTAGTAGACCTTCATATAGTAGACAAAGGTAGACATCTTCTATACTTCATTTAGTATAAGTAGGTAGACATCTTAAAGGGAGTGTTCGCGAAAAATGAAAGGGGGTATAGGCTTAATGCGATAAAAAAGCGCTTTTGATCGCTTCTAATCTTACTTCTATCTGTTGCGTCTATAAGGAGAAAATTGTTAAAAACGTCTAATACCGAAGAACATAGTATCCATGAAAATTAAGAAAGATGCAACATATTACTTAGACCGTAAAAAATCTATTTAATTTCAAACAAATCATTCAGATATTACAACCTATGGTCATCGATTATCTTTCGCCACATTTGTATACAGTTGATTTTTCATGATGTGTTTTGATTTTATTTTTTACAATGACATTAAGCTTGCAACTTGTTTTCGAACATTCCTGGAAAATATGAAAATGTCGTCTTCATTACCAAAAATCCTCGAAACTGGAATAAATGTTTTTATAAGTAACTCTCAGATCATAACAATTAAAACCTATTATGAAAAATCAACTTTATACAAATGTGGCGATTTGTATTTGTTTGAAATTAAATAGATTTTTTTACGTTTAAGTCGTATGTTTTATCTTTCTGAATTTGTATGGATACTACGTTCTTCGGTATTAGTCGTTTTTAACAATTTTCTCCTTATAGACGCAACAGATAGAAGTAAGATTAGAAGCGATCAAAAGCGCTTTTTTATCGCATTAAGTCTATACCCCCTTTCCTTTTTCGCGAACACTCCCTTTAATACTTCATATAAACATCTTCATACTTTATATAGTAAGCGTAGGTATGTAATAAATATCGTGTAATACTAGATATGTAAACCTGAAGTACGTTGTACATTATTAATTATCTACGTTGTAAATAGCTAGGCAAAGCCCATATTGTGATTTAATTTAACTCTGCTGTAAATAACAACGTAACATGATTAGCTGTTGACATTAACAGCAGTCGTGATGGTGCCCATTGGTTTGGCATTGATTTACAAGATTGTGTCCGGGTTTGACATTGACAGTAAAGAAAAAATTTAGTTGTACCTGGATAGATACGGGTTTAAGAAACCCTTTTGGAGTAGGGCATTTATTATAGATAGACATCTTAATTACCCATATAGTAGACATAGGTAGACATCTTAATACTTTAATTAGTAGACGTAGGCAGACATCTTTTCTTCATTTGGTAGACGTATTTTAACATATTGTTACTTCTTATAGTAGACTCAGGAAAACATATTCATTCTTTATTTGGTAGACGTAGGTAGACAAATTTATATAATTCATATAATAGAAGTAGGTAGACATTTTCTTACTTTATATAGTAGAAGTATAGTATAGTAGAAGTTTATACTTCGTATAGTAGTCTTAGGTAGACATATTCATAATTCATTTAGTAGACGTTGGTAGACATATTGATACTTCATATAGTAGACGAAGGTAGATACTTAATACTTCATACAGTAGACGAAATCAATCACTTAGCATAGTATAACAACCTAAATCTATTAGTAGGCCTAAAGAAGCCATATATATATATAATCATGTATTTAATGATTTAGCAAAGTATAACAATCTATTTAATAATTTTTTTTTCAGGTACAGTGATCTTTCTTTTAGAAAAGGAAAACTTATTTACAATTACCTCAAATAAATTTTCTTTTTTACAATTACATTAAATAAACTTAATGGTGAAAATCATATTAAACTTAATGGTAAAAATAAAATTTACAATTCTTATTTACAATTACCGTGAAATTAAACTGAAAATTTTTTTGTTAACAATTATTTATATAATAAAACAAAGACATTCGTATATATATACATATGTTGCCTATAGCCGGCCAAACGGCTGGACCGAATGGGCTGAAATTTTTTGTGGACAGGCATGGGTGGCCGGGGGGTGTTATAGGCTAAAAAATAATTAGCTAGTCTTTAATAAACTTAACCTTAACTTTAATAACCTGAATTAAACTAAAGGGAAAACACTTTTTACAATTACGTTAATTAATCTTAACTCTATTCCTGTCCCCCCCCCCCATCAGCATATCCTGGTTTTCAAGTGCCCCAGCAGAGATAGGGTTAAAGGGTAAAAACTGAATTGCCTTAAATCAAATTTACTGGGGAAGAAATGATGGAAAAACATATTTGCTTAACAAAAAATATGGCGCTAATTCTGTTGTATAATATACAATGTTTAGATAAAGCTTTGAATTTTGAAGAAAAGGTTTTTAAAAATTAAATGTGAACAAGTTGATGTTTGTTGGTTACTTTTTTAATTTTCTTTAATAAATTAAATGATTTTTATTATGATAAGATAACCTGTTTAAAATAAAAGTTTTGTTAGTTGAACCAAGTATTTGGGAGAGTTTTTCTAGCCCTGTACTAGATCTCAAGAATGCTTTTAAAGGTATTTTTTTATTCTTGCCATTTATCACCCACAACGCGCGGTAATATTCATAACTTTTCGAAGATATGAAGAAATGTTTAATTGGCGTGTTTGTGAAAAAACTACATGGTATTTTTAAATACATAAAACTGTTATTTCCGACTGATTTTTTTGCACCCCTAGAAAATTGGTATACTAAAAAATTTAGATAATTAATTATAACTTACAAAAGACGTCTTTAAAATGTACAATGTGATTAAAACCTGGCTAACGGGGAGCGCCCCTTTTCTTTATGAATTATTTAAAGCTTTATACCATTGCTCTTCAATTTGCTATTTTACTTTGTTAATGGTATTTTGAGGATTTTTTGTGACTAATTTGCACGTTTAAAAAAAATAAATGTCTCCATTTTTTGGGCAAACTTTTACATCTATTACATTTATAGACCTTCCTGGGATTATGTGAGTTGTCTCAAAAATATTTTTCTCGATCTAGGTTCCGCCGTTTTGACGTTGATTGAATAAAGACAGACATACAAGCCAAATTTATATATATATTTATATATATACTAATTAGCTTTCATGTTTAAGGACGGCCGAGCTTCACTGAACCAGGCCCTATTGGAGGTCAACTGAAGAATCTTGTTCCAGTTAACCTTGTTCTAGAGGATGTTCTACCTGTTCTACCTGTTTACTGGAAAACACAAACCCTTGTCAGAGGTGATATATCATTTCGACATTAAAAGGAGTGTGTGCGAAAAATGAACTTGGGGATCTAAGCTAACGTATCAAGTTCATCCGTATTCATCCGTATCTAGTTCAATCACATATTTATTATTTTCAACCTCTGCGTGAACTGAGGTTTCGTGACTGGGACTGGGAAATTTTAAAGCATGTATACAAATTATTTGGTTAGTTTTATTTTCTCTGGCTCTAATGTAGGATGACCGGGCATGGGCGATGTCTTTTGTAACTTTTTTTATGATAAATTAATCAAAATTTAAAATAATCGCTGATAAACGATACCAGTTCACAATAAATATTTTGGTACATATAAAGATTTTTTGAAATTTTGTAATATTTTGTTTTGAAAGGTATGTTTTGTTCAGTTGGTCTAATGTTGGTTCTGGCTGGTAGTCTGATGGTGTCAGTTTTGATGAAAACTAACTCAAATACTAGACTCAACGGTAAACAAAGGTCAGCTTTCTCTCCCCCCCCCCCCCCCCTCCATTCGAACCAAATAAAGTTAACTAAAATTTCAAAACTTGTGACAAAACTTTAGATAAATTTTACAGGGGTAGCGCATCTTCCCCTCTCATCCTCTATCCTTAGTCATTTTTTTTTTCATTTTTCTTATGCTGCATTAAAAATTGCATTTCAGGGAATTACAGTGACAATGGTGCCTTAAAACAGTTATCTGATCTTCAATGTGAAAATATAGAAATGTCAAAATATTTTCATCTGGATATTTTATAAATTTTTAGAGAATATTGTAATATTTTAATTTTAAAATAAATTATAAAAGTTAACAGATCGAAAATGTGAAAGATGTAAAGTCAGTTCTCTATCTTAATTGTTTAATTATGAAATAAGTAAATTACTTTAAAGAAAAGCTTCAATTGAAAATAAACAATTTAATTCACTAACTGAAGGATATCTCATGCAATTTCAAGGGTACCGTTGTAAATTGGACTTTTTCATAGTCATTTCAAATAGCGTCTAAGCCCTTCAATTACTTTTACTTGATGGTAAATGAAAGATAAAGTATTGAGAGGTTTCATGAAATTATTTTTTCGATGGAAATACAATTTTGTAAATATTTGACAAAAAATCTATTTGTTCAAATTTGGTTTATTTCAGCTCTATCAAGTATGGAAGCGAACAGAGGTTAATGGCGTTGAAACGAGACAACAGAGTTATCGATTTTGATATCAAGGTACTTATTTTCTCTTTTTATTCTCTCATTTTTCTTATTTTCCTTTCATAAAGGAAAAAAGTTGACCAGGTTTATGCTCTCACAAAATATAAAATATATTACATACAGTTTTTAAAATTAAACTCCGCATTAAATAATGGTTATTAAAAAATACGTTGACATTATCACGCTAGTTCGTATGCAAAGGTAAATTTCTAATGACGGACAAGCTTTTTCTGGACTTCACTCACGCCACTAGAGGACGACATTTATCCTCATGGACGTTAACTGCAGACGTTGTTTAGACATAAAAGAAAAAGACATGTAGACGTTTACACACCCTGCAGGAAAACAAAGCACTCTATTCTAACCCATAGTAGATTAATAAACCCTTGGAAATATATTCCTATTACTTTCTTTCTAAATATCCTAAAACTGATATTTACTAATGTCATCTTAAAACTCTCCGATCATGACTTTACAGTGAGACAAGACCCAGAAAACTGTAGGGAAACTGTGAATGGAAGAAAAGATTCACTTTAGGGTTTCAACGAGAGAAACGTTTCGCGAAAATTGCGAAAATTTGCGGTCGCATTTCGCAAAATTTTTCGCGAAATTTAGCATTTTTTGTGAAAATAAATGAAGCAAAAACGAAGCAAAATTTCGCGAAATGCGAAAATTTTGTGAAAACCATGAGTTTTATAGCTGCAATAATCAATTGCTCTAAAAGAACTTGTGGAATTCTCTGCTCTGATAGCGCAATATTTGAAGTTTTATTATGTCATATAAATAATTTCTCTTCCTTTACTGTAATAAATGTTTGAAGAGAATTTGATTTCTTCAGCCATCTTTTTCAGTTTCTGTCTGTCAGTTCACAATGCATACGTTCAACCGTGATTATGAGCCAGCCAATTACAAGCAAGAATCTCTTAATGGACCAATCGCAGCAATAGTTTTTGTGCGAAATTTTCGCATTTTTTACGCAAAATTTTCGCATTTTCTTTTTATCGAAATTTTGCATTTTTTTCGCTAAACAGATTGAAGCGAAAAAAGCTAAAATTTTCGCATTTTTGTAGAGCGAACAAAATGCGAAAATGGCGCGAAATGGTAGCGAAAAAAAAAAATTTTCTCTAAAAATGCAAAATTTTCGCGAAACGATTTTTCCTTTTCGCTGGAAACCCTAGTTCTGATTATGCAACTTTTAAACTTCGTGGATTAAATTTACTTAAGGATGAAAGTGGTCGTGTTCTTGGTGGCAAGCATGCTTCTATACAGTTTGCGTACGATTTAAACAAGGTAATAGTGCTGATCTTGTATAAATTGTAGGGGTTTTCAATTTACAACTGATGAAAGACGAATAAGTGAAGTAATTGGGATTGTGGAATATACAGGGTTACCCACATAAGATGAGACGTCAGAGATGATGTTAGGTAATTATTCGACATTTTTTCTTGCATTCTAAACTTTTTTTCTTTTCTAGTCAACTTATTAATCAACCGAATGATATTTACAGCAGAATCTCTATTTCTAAAATTTCAGGTCATTAAAGTCTCATGCTTTGTGGGTCACCCTATAGAAGAGTTGGTAGAATTGATATAAACGATATTTTGACTGTTTTGAATTCTCTCGCCCAAAAGTTGTAGGTTAACAATCGCTTAAAGCACGAATTTAGTAGAACTAATTTATTTCATTCGTTATTAAATATAATTCTTTTGGAAGACGACTGCTTAAAAGACGACATATCAGCCGAAACATTATTCTAAAAAAGTTAAAAATGCCATGCATATTGCATAAGAGTTTCATGATAAAAAATTTGTTTTGGAAAAGACGACGCTAATCACACTTTTTTTTACTCACCCTGTATATATTTATATTAGTGCAAACTACTTAGTTTATAGATTAATTTTTGTGAAGGTGGTCAAAGCTGAAATATCAGATCCTCTACCTTTGTTTGAACCCGAACCTCTTCGAACCAAACGGATGGCTACACCAGAACCGGTTTCCGAACCTCATCCTAGTGCTGAACCAGAACCGATTTCCGAACCACATCCCAGCGCTGAACCTGAACCGATTTCCGAACCGCATCCCAGCGCTGAACCCGAACCGATTGCTATGCCTTCACAAATCTTACCTAAAGATGTTTCGGTAATTGTCATATAATGTATTTTTAGAATTCCGACACTGGTGTATAATCTTTAGGGGGGGGGGGGTGATTATTAGAGAATAGGAGAAGAAAAATAATAGTTGTTCCTTTTTGATACTGTCCCTCAAAACATTATTTATTTTCCCAATTCAGCAAAGAAAATATTCCAACAGATGTTGCTACTCCGTCTACACAATACACATCTAGCTTCTATCGAAAATAAAATATATGCAAAGAGGGGGGGGGATTTTTAATTAAAAATACACCCCTGTTTCGACAACCCAACTTTTTCAGGGTTCAAATCAGTTTTCTATTTTTGAGCTCTCCAGGAAGATTGAAGAGCTGAGTGCACTTCTTAAGGTACAATTACTGATCCTTGTCCCAGCAAGCTTTTACTTTCGATCCTACAATTTGACCAAGCAATAATCAATGTTTCGTTTTTCCGTTTTTCTATGTTTGGTTGTGGGAGGATGTTTTGAGAGAGAAAATAGATAAAATGGTCTCGTTGTTTTCAAAGATTATTGAGTTTAAGGTCAAAAACACCAATAGAATTTGAATTAAGAAACTAAACACATCTAGCCCTCGAATTTCGAATATGTGAATAATATGTCAAGTTTTTTTTGTGTGTTTGCAAAATATTTGTTATACAATTTCGAATTGGTGGAGAGTCCAAGACTTATTTTATTTCTGTCAAATCTTTCTTCATGCCATAATGTACTGTCAACGTCAATATAAAGACCATTTCTGGCACATTGGAGGCCATCCAGAGTAAAACGTTAGTATACAACCTTTGTTCTAACATTTATTTTTCAAGTTTTATTTTTAACAAAATTCTATAAATTAGATTATACGCGGCTGCAAGTTTTTTGACATTTCTGTTTTTCGAAATCTCCATTTTCTTTTTAATATTCGTGCATATCATCCATTATGTTCGGTTGATTTTGAAAAAGAAAAGAATATTATTTATACAACCTTTGGTTAGATGGAGGATCTGCGGAAGGTTGATGAAGAGTTTGATCAATTAGAATCTGAAATTGAAACTCTGAAGATTAGAAAGAGAAACTTGGTTAAGAAGCTTCAACAATCTAACAAGGTTTCTCATTTTTTTCATTTAAAACTTTTTTTCGTTAAAATATCATAAATCATGAAAGAAACCTAAAACTTTAGACCTAAGTAATGATTTTTAAAGGAAAATTAAGCAGCAATTGTACATTTTACTCAGACCCATTTCACTAATATACGTAACTTGTTGCTATGTAACATCAAGTACTATGCTGTTGAAACTAGTTGCTTTGCAACATCAAGTACTTTCAAGCTGCTGTTGAAACTAGTTGCTTTGTAACATCAAGTACTTTCAAGCTGCTGTTGAAACTAGTTGCTTTGTAACATCAAGTACCTTCAAGCTGCTGGTGAAACTAGTTGCTTTGTAACATCAAGTACTTTCAAGCTGCTGTAGAAACTAGTTGCTTTGTAACATCAAGTACTTTCAAGCTGCTGGTGAAACTAGTTGCTTTGTTACATCAAGTACCTTCAAGCTGCTGGTGAAACTAGTTGCTTTGTAACATCAAGTTGTGAACCATATCCCATAAACTACCCTGTTGTAAAAGTCGTCTTTGACAAACTACATCTCCTCCAACTGTTCCATTCCTTTCAACACTAATAATCAATGTTATTTCATTTTCAACCGTTTAGATACTCCCAATTAAGGGTCAATATTTTTAAACTTTTCTTTTATTTCTCATTTCATGCTCTATTATTCAATAAAGTTACCGAATATCCCTGTTGTTCTTTTATTTGTGTCAACAATCACTTAGAATAAAAACGCGGGTTTTCTTTAAGTTTGAACTCTGATTCTCATCGCTCCCAGCGGTGAGGTAGCAAATGAACTGCATTCATACACAACACAAGGAGGAATTTTCATTTGTTTTTTCCAATTTCGGGTCACCCTATCAATTTTTTTACAACATTCTTTGAATATATATATATATATATGATATCAGATGAAAATATTTTGACATTTCTATATTTCTTGTTCTTCATTTTCTGATGGCAGATTAGAAAAGTCGACCTTCAGATTTAGGTCGTGAAAGTTAGGTCGTTATTAAAGTCTCATTTTCTGTGGATAACCATGGATTAACAATCTGTCTCATTTTCTGTGGATCGCCCTGGATTAACAATCTGTCTCATTTTCTGCGGATAACCCTGGATTAACAATCTGTCATAAGTTTTTTGAATACTCTGGTTTATAATTTACAAGCCTATTCCATGTGAAAAGTGCCAAACCTTTTTTAATGAGGATTTTTTGGCATTGTTGTTATTTTAAGTTTTCTGCAGGGATTGTCTGAAGCAATTTTACGTGGCAATCCATTTAATGCTCCCATGACATGCCCGAATAAAGAACTGTTAATTTTTTCTTGTTGTCTCTGCTACTTAATTCTGTTCAGAAAAAGTTGTAAACCAAACCCTCGTGATTTGGACCTTTTTTTGAAAAATAGAGGGTCAGTCAAAAGGAAAAATTAAAACCCTACCCTCTACAGTTCCTTTTTCATTTATTTTTTCAAGGTCGTTCCGAAGAAGGAGGAAGCTAGGGCTTCAGACGATGTTGATGTAGATTCTACTGTAGATGATGTTGATGTAGATTCTACTGAAGATGATGATGTAGAACCTGATTATCCTGATGATCCTAAGTTCAGGTGCTTTTATGTTTGTGATTCTTGATATTTGTTTTGAAATTCCTTTCCTTGAATGTTTTAGTTTTTGAAATTTAAACGGCTTTTAGGAAATTGGTTTGAAACAACCAAACAACGCTCAATGCTACAAAACACTCTATTGCAAAACGTTCAAAGCACAAAAGGACATTGTTCTAAAACTCCTAAAATTTTACACAATTACAAAATCAAAAATAAGTGTTAAAACCCGTCTAAAACTTCGAATTTGAACACTCATTAATTTTGAGTTTTGTTGCATTAGGCATTTTGTACCACTCCGCCTTGAAAGAAAGAATCTTGTTTTTTTTTAATGAATTTATTTAAGTTGCATGAAATGACATGTGATACTTTTAAATCCATGTTTTTCTTTTTAGAAAGCAGTGAGAAAGGATGCGGAGGTGGAATTGTATGAGAGATCTCTATTTTATTATTATTTGTAATTTTTAATATTCTTTGTCAAGCTTATCCTATCCGAGTCATTTTAATCCTATTTAGTATATATAAATAAATGCTCTATTTATTATTATCATAAATCTGATTTTTAGTTTATTAGAGTTTTCAAGAGACTGTAGACGTAGGTTAATGAGACTAATCTTCAGCGGAACTCTTTAACGTAACGATAAGTAAGATCTTCATTTTTACAAGTAAAATTAACTGATTTAAACCGGTTTAAATCTGGATTTTTAACAGGGAAGTGAACTTTCATATTGTAATACTTAAATTTTTACATTTTCATTTTGCACTAATGAGTTCTCATAAAAATTCAATTGTCCAAATTTGATAATTTATCAATTCTATTCATTGTAGTCATGCTTAATGAAACTAAGCCCATTTATTTTTAATGAGTGTAAAAATGGTATAAATGAAATCCCTGATTTCCTAAAGTTCTAAAGTCTGTTTTGCTACGAATTAATGTATGAAATGTATTTCAAAGATAATTTATTTTTTAGAATTAGAGCGACATTAAGACTGAGAGGTGATATAATTTGCAATAATTCAAGAGTTCATTTATAGGGTCATCATTAAAGCATAGATATTAATTTCAAATAAACTTGAGCTTAACAGTCGTTTTCCTATTCCACAACGTTATGGTTTAAACTGTAGGCTAGCGCGTCGGTCAGAGCAGAGATGTTAACGGAAGACATTAAGACTGAGAGGTGATATAATTTGCAATAGTTCAAGAGTTCATTTATAGGGGCATCATTAAAGCATAGATATTAATTTCAAATGGCGAAATTGTTGAGAAAAGAGACCAAAACTTTTGTATTGGATATCCGGCTAACCCTAGGATGAGGCTTAACTGGTATCAGAGTGCATGTGGAAGAAATGATGCACGCAAGGTTATATAATAAGGTTCAAAGATGTAATGCAAGGAAAGTTATTTCAAAAGTGTACGCATCTTTTGTACTGCAGTGTAAGCTGTCTCTGGGCGGTAATGTAAACACAAGACGGATGTTACAGCCTGACATAGGATGCATCTTTCACATAAAAAAATCAATGAAATATTCTGGTGATAGAAAACTATTATGTGAATTATCAAAATTATCAAATTTAATGCTTTTAACCTCCTCGGATACTAAACGAACACTGATGCATCTATTCTAGTCTAAACTAGTTCAACGATCGACTCAAGTTGTGATAAATTCTAATATTCTATGAAAAATAACTAAATGCAAGGACACCTAAGATCACAGAGTACAAGGGTAGCAGCCTAGCAGGGACGTTTAGATTAAAAAAATATTATTTCTGCAAGAAAATGTTTAATAATTTTAAACTTGGCATTTTTTAATTAAGATTCTTTCAAAAGTATTCAAGTTTAATATCATCGCCTGGCTTCACAGGAAGGTTAAAGGGAAAGTATTCAAGTTTAATATCATCGCCACAGGAAGGCTAAAGGGACTGTAGGCGATAATCTAAATATGAAGTGACCTTCCATTTCTAGAATGGCATGTCCGATTCACAAGCTTTGTCTGATCAAGAGTGAATAAGATATCAATGTTTATCACTTTAAAATTTTATTTTTTATTTTTCTTTTCTCTACACTTTAGCTAAAGAAGACTGGAAAAAAAGATATTGAAATTATAACTACAGTCCCTTCAATATCAAATAACAAGGTATGATTACATTATATAACAATAACACTTTAATTATGTACAATTCTAGTTTTTATAGTGTACTGCTACATCCATTTGTTTTTGTATACAGCATGATACTACATAGAATTTCAACAAAAATGAGTATTAATTGGTACTGTACATTCCAGAAGATTGGATAAAATCTAAGGATTTAAATTTTATTGTTTTCAATAAACTGCGAAATATATGCTAATATATAGAATTTTTTTTCAATTTTAATTAATATTAGCTATTTTTTACGATTACATAAAATAAATATATTTTTTAAAACTGATTTTAATGTTTGGTAATAGTTTTATCTGAGTAACAAAATGGTAACAAATGTTGTGAAAAATATCACAAGGCGATAGAATAGTATGGCATCAATGATTCCTGTCTCATTTTCTGTGGATTTCGAGCCTATATCCTTTTGTTTGGTTCACACAAGTACTTTCAAGATTGCTCAAATGCTGTTTTCCTATTCCTTAGTTTTATAGTTCCCATGTTTGAAGTGTTAAAAATGATACTCTGCTCGCAAAATTAGGGGAAAACGTTTTCATTGTATTTCTTTTTCATCCTAGCTGGTCCAAGTCAATTTTATAAGTATTGTGTTATAATTTTTATGGGATTCCCCTTTTTCTTCTTTATAGATTAAATTATGGGATATCCAACGCTGTAATAAACTGTGAATGAAAAAAACTAAATTCTAATCGAATGAAAACATCTTTGTTTTACAAATAAACTGTAGTAATGGGTTGCTTACAGCGAAAATGACGTGAAACTAATGGGAAATTCCGTTTTAAGACAAAGTTCTGGTTACAACGAAAGTTACGGAAAATTTATTGGAATTTCCGTTAAAGACCAACAAGTACCGTTTCGTTAATGTAACAAACGTTTAATCAGTCATCTAAGTCTTATTTTGTATGTAGAAATTACAGTTTACCATGGTTAGAAGATAAAATCTGATTTTACCATCACAATACAGCGCAGCCTTCAACCTCTTAGCAAAATACAAATAATATTTTCCTCAGGTAACTGCAAATGAGATTAAAAAGAAGAATAAACCTGTAAAAGTTGATCTGGAAGAAGCCAAGGAGTCCGACTCAACCGCTAAGAAAAGTGTGAAATCTCCGAAACCGCCTAAAACAAAGGTGAGATTGATTTTAAAGGTACTGCAGACTTCATCTTAAGTGACTCTTAAAAAGTATCGACTATCTCTGTTAATTGAATATATGCAACTTATTAAATGGAGGATCACTTGAACTTGCGTTGAAAACTCGAGAAGACCATAAATTTTGATGCACTGTAAATACTAGAATCGTTTTGTAAAACATTGTACCAGATATACGGAAATATCTTAATTTAACAACGAAAAATGTCTTTACAGGTTCGAAATCCTTTAACAGAATCTATTGATAAGCCAGCATTAACTCCAGTCAAGAATAAATCAACGAGCAAGGTAAGTCAAGAAATATCATATCATGTGTTTTTTATAACCCTCTTTCGGGGGATTTCATCCTCTACAAGAGTCTGATTTATTCAGTCACATTTCTTATATTTCTTGACGGCACCTTGAGAACTTGAGATATTTCCGTTCCTCCTCTTGCACACGAAAATATTGTTTCTTTTTAAATTGAATTGATTGCGAAGTCAAGGTTAGCTAATTATAATATTCTTCAAATATATCACTGTTAACAAATTCAAGAAAACACGAAGACGATTACTACTGTGTAGCGAAGTTGACCGCGGAAGATTCACAATACTATAATACTATATCCGCTCCAAATGTGTCTCCTCATTGAGGAGGCTTTGGTCACACAATTTCTTTTTTTTATCGTACATTAATTTTTCAAGTACAAACTAATATTCTTAGGCAAAATAAAATGGAAGAACGTGAAGGAAGAAATTGTTTACAAACAATATTTAACACACGATTATACGGTATTTTTAAGAAAGGGTGGGGGGGGACGAAAATGTACCCCCAACAATTAATTAAAAAATTTGGTAAAATATTCTATATACGCAAACTGCATAATAAATATTGTATTAAAATTTGTTTGAGAATACATGAATTTGTTCTATTGAAGAGTTTGTTTTGATTTTCCAAAACAGTTGGACTGAGGTCAGAAATTATGAACTTATAATGGCGCTAATCTACAGATTACAAAATTCCAGATGGAATAGAACTAATCCGTCAAACAACAACATATACGAATTAGAGATTAATGAAGAGACTAACAAATGAAATCCACGAGTTCTGACCTCAATTCTATAAAATAATATAAAAAGTGTTTTTATCACTAGAATTTGAGAAAAGTGTTAATCCAGTCTCTAAAGTAAGATATTCTTGTCATAACCCCGGGCTGGTTACGCTTGGCACAACCTATACCCCAGCTAATCACGCCGGCCAGATTATACCTCCCGTCCTCACGTCGGACAGCCATTGGACCACCAGAGTCTCCCTAAACAAATTTAGCTTGTAATCGATGTCGCATGTTGCAGTTTTTCAATCCTCTGTTGGCGGATTTCCGCCAAATTATCCTGGGACCGGCGCGGGACCCAGATTAAACAATATCCTGGGACCGGCGCGGGACCCAGATTAAAAAGAATCTAAAACCCATAGATTATATAAAATAACAGATAGGACACTAGATGTTGTCTTTTCAAGATTTATAAGTATTTCGTTCACAATAACCCTGAGGCAAAAGCCCAAAGGAGTCACGCGTAGTCGGCGTAGTATACATTCTCTCTGTCTTGCAATTTTACAGAGAGAGAGTGCCTGTTCTACGCTGACTACGGGTATCTCCATTGTGCTTCTGCTTCAGGGTTCTTGTGAACGAAATACTTATAAATCTTAAAAAGACGATATCTATTGTCCTATTTGTTATTTTAATTAATCTGTGCTTAAACCAATGACATTTTAATTTAAAAACCTTACCTCACAAGAATCCTTTCCTCCTTCACTATATCCAGCACATATAAATATTTCAGGAATATGTTCTCTAAACAGATAATTATTTCAGGAATATGTTCTCTAAACAGATAATTATTTCAGGAATATATTCTCTAAACAGAAAAATATATCAGGAATATGTTCTCTATACAGATACATATTTAAGGAATATGTTCTCTAAACAGATAATTATTTTAGGAATATGTTCTCTAAACAGATAATTATTTCAGGAATATGTTCTCTAAACAGATAAATATATCAGGAATGTGTTCTCTAAAAAGATAAATATTTCAGAAATGTGTTCTCTAAACAGATAAATATTTCAGGAATATGTTCTCTAAACAGATAAATATTTCAGGAATATGTTCTCTAAACAGATAAATATATCAGGAATGTGTTCTCTAAAAAGATAAATATTTCAGAAATGTTCTCTAAACAGATAAATATTTCAGGAATATGTTCTCTAAACAGATAAATATTTCAGGAATATGTTCTCTAAACTGATAAATATTTCAGGAATATGTTCTCTAAACTGATAAATATTTCAGGAATATGTTCTCTAAACAGATAAATATTTCAGGAATATGTTCTCTAAACAGATAAATATTTCAGGAATATGTTCTTTAAATTACAGGCAATTAAATCTTTAAAATAAAGGACCTGAGCTGAAAACTTTAGAATGAAATATCCAGATATCCGATCGGTTAACTTTTCTGGAGTTTAAATATTGCTTGTTCTCCACATGAATTTAAACTCCAGAAAAGTTAACCGATCGGATATCTGGATATTTCATTCTAAAGTTTTCAGCTCTGAATAAATAAATGAACCACTAGAAATAAATTAACCTTTATCACTTTAAACAAGCTTTCTCTGATACAATATAATAATTTATTGAATTCGTAAATTCATATATTCATATTAGGCTTCTACGGCGTTTCTCAAACATCTTTGATTTTAACTGGTATTGATGTTTTATTGCATTTTCTCTTCTTAAATTATCAAACAAACAAAATTTTCGCGGATTTATCGATTTTTTCCGGTGATTTTGAAAAATTTCATTTTTTAAGGAAAATATTTAAAACTCTGACCATCCATAGACACTCAAAAAACCCATGAGTGAACTCATAAAACTGTGAAATAAGAAAACATCTGATTAGACCCAAGTTTTGCCTTTAAATAGGCCAATGAACAATTTGCTTGATTAGTTGATATTCAATCTATAGTGGTAAACTAGGTTTGCTACATTTTAACAACAAATTGTAAAATTTAGTTTTATATTTGGTCTGAAAATATACCTGTAGCCAGCTCTTTCATACATAGATTCACACTCAGTATTGTTTATTATTGGCAGGTCAACCTCCTGTAGGACAGAGGGCAGGGGGCCATTTTGATTGTTGACTGGAGGGAACTGGAGAGGACTGGAGGGAACTGGAGTGTAATTTAGGTGACTGGAGGTGACTGGAGGGGAATGGAGGGAACTGGATGGGATTGGAGTGGAATAGAGGTGACTAGAGGGAAATGGGGGGAATGGAGGGGAATGGAGGAGAATGGAGAGGAATGGAGGGGAATGGAGAGAAATGGAGGGGAATGGAGGGAAATGAAGTGGACTGGAGGGGACTGGAGTAGTACATAGTTGACTGGAGGGGACTAGAGGAGAATGGAGGGGACTGAAGTGGCATGGAAGGGACTGGAGTTGAGTTGAGTGGACTTGAGGGACATAGAGGAGACTGGAGTGGAATGAAGGGGACTGGAGTTGACTTGAGTTGACTTGAGTGGAATAGACTGGATTGGAGGGGTCTGGACGGGACTGTAAGAGACTGGAGTGGACTTGAGGGGAATTATGGGGACTTCTACATTCCAGCGACATCTCGCTTCATTTAATTCGTTCCCGGAGATATGATACAGTGGTCGGCTTTTATATTAATACAATGCCAGGAGATATCATACAGTGGTCAGCTTTTATATTAATACAATGCCAGGAGATATCATACAGTGGTCGGCTTTTATATCAATACAATCCCAGGAGTTATCATACAGTGGTTGGCTTTTATATCAATACAATCCCAGGAGATATCATACAGTGGTCAGCTTTTATAACAATACAATCCCAGGAGATATCATACAGTGGTCGGCTTTTATATCAATACAATGCCAGGAGATATCATACAGTGGTCAGCTTTTATATCAATACAATCCCAGGAGATATCATACAGTGGTCGGCTTTTATATCAATGCAATCCCAGGAGATATCATACAGTGGTTGGCTTTTATATCAATACAATCCCAGGAGATATCATACAGTGGTCAGCTTTTATATCAATACAATCCCAGGAGTTATCATACAGTGGTCGGCTTTTATATCAATACAATCCCAGGAGATATCATACAGTGGTCAGCTTTTATATCAATACAATCCCAGGAGATATCATACAGTGGTCGGCTTTTATATCAATACAATCCCAGGAGATATCATACAGTGGTCGGCTTTTATATCAATACAATGCCAGGAAATATCATACAGTGGTCAGCTTTTATATCAATACAATCCCAGGAGATATCATACAGTGGTTGGCTTTTATATCAATACAATACCAGGAGATACCATACAGTGGTCGGCTTTAGTTATCAATACAATCCCAGGAAATATCATACAGTGGTCGGCTTTTATATCAATACAATGCCAGGAGATATGATACAGTGGTCGGCTTTTATATCAATACAATGCTAGGATATATCATACAGTGGTCAGCTTTTATATTAATACAATGCCAGGAGATATGATACAGTGGTCGGCTTTTATATCAATACAATGAAGACGTCTTTTCTATTTAAGTTTTTTATTTTTTACAAGCTTTTTTTCAAATCACAAGATTACAACTAAACAAAGAGAAGCTGTATATTCTGTGTATCCATGCTGTTTGAAAGCTTTGTAAAAATAAAAAATGTAAATCGAAAGTCGTCTTCACTGTATTGATAAATATGACGACGACTGTATTTTTACTAATTTGACTTGGAACAAAAAGAAGTTTCAGACCATTCTGTTCTGATTGAATAATTTTAAAAATAAATTCCTTTCCACTGCCTGAATAACTAGGCAACAACTGAATAAATTGATAAAGAAAGCTAAACTATCTGATTAACCTATGTTTAATATTATGTATTATTTAAAATCGTCCAATAACTCAAAGGAAGACGACCTTCTGTGTCTTGATGCTTTATCTGAACAAGTTAATACTGTCTGTTTCCTTATATTGACAAATCCTTGCAATTATTAACTTGTCATTTTCCATTAAATCAGTTATTAAACGGCTAAATTCAAATATAAGGTAGTTTACTTAATTTAACTTTTAAATCGTAATATTTTAATAGTTTCGTGTCGTCTTTGCAGGCTCATCGTTTGTTTCTACATGTTTCTAATAGTGACAAATAAATCTTTGCTTGCATAGTTGAACTCTGTACTACTACATTGGCTTTATGCCTGCACGTCAATAGATATTTCCTGTTTAAAATTGTGATGAATATTATTATTATCATTATCATTATTATTATTCTTAATATTAATATTATTGTCATCAATATTAATAACATTATAATTATTACCTGAACTCTACAGGATCGTGAAATCTAAGAAGTGCAAGATCGTATTCGAATGTCAAAGGATCGAACTTGGTGTGAGTTACAACTATCGCAACTTTACGATCCTGCCAGAAAAATCAAAATTAATATTTTTGCAACATTTTCTCAGGAATTATTATTAGTTACTTATGATCAACTATTTCTTTTCAGTTGAACCCTAAGTTTTTCAGTTTTTACAGTGGCGTTTCTTCTTAAAAGATATTGGTAGGGGGGTACTTATAAATTCGCCCCCCCCCCCCCCCGGTTAAAGACGTGGCATAATGAAACTCAAGAAAGAGTTTACAAGGAACAAACATTTCCAATTTTTTTGCAGCAAAAAAAACCGCATAAATTGGGTTCGAATTTCGCGAATTTTCACAAAAATTTGCGAAATTTTTCGTTTTCGAATCCCATTTTCAAAAGGTTTAACGAAATTTAAGGAATGAGATTATCGAAAATTTTGAAACCCTACTTGGTAAAATCACGGGATGTTCTTAGTTTGGTTAAAAACTAAATACGGTTTCCAGGCAACGCTGGGTTCCCAATCTAGTATAATATATAATGGAATAAAATGCCCACTGCAAAGGAAAATACCTGGAATTCATAAGGTTCATCACTTTCATTTCCTAGATCATATTCTCCCATGCGCAGTAGCAACGAATCTGGGTCCACACTGCGCTTAATTTTATTAGATTCGTTGTCTTTTAAATTGTTTAAAAAAGGGTGTTAAAAAAGTATGAAAATACAACTTACTTTACAACACAATGTGCAGCAGTTATTGCCCAGTTTTCAGTTAGTAACGCAGCTCCGCATTTATGCAGGAAAGTTGCTGAAAAATATTATTGGTCAATATCTACAAACCTATGTAGTGTACACTGTACAGCGTCTACTATGTAGAAGTTCTTGTCTAGTGTCTATTATCTTGTATCTAGTGTCTAGTGTCTAGTGTCTATTATCTAGTGTCTAGTGTCTAATGTCTAGTGTCTAGTATCTAGTGTCTAGAATCTCGTGTCTAGAATCTCGTGTCTAGAATCTCGTGTCTAGAATCTAGTGTCTAGAATCTAGTGTCTAGAATCTAGTGTCTAGAATCTAGTGTCTAGGATCTAGTGTCTAGAATCTAATGTCTAGAATCTAGTGTCTAGAATCTAGTGTCTAGAATCTAGTGTCTAGAATCTAGTGTCTAGAATCTAGTATCTAGTATTCTGTGTCTAGTTTCTAGTGTCTAGTGTCTAATATCTAGTGTCTAGAATCTAGTGTCTAGTATTCTGTGTCTAATATCTAGTGCCTAGAATCTAGTGTCTAGAATCTAGTGTCTAGTATTTTGTGTCTAGTGTCTAGTGTCTAGTATTCTGTGTCTAGTGTCTAGTGTCTAGTGTCTAGTGTCTAGTGTCTAGAATCTAGTGTCTAGTATTCTGTGTCTAGTGTCTAGTGTCTAATGTCTAGAATCTAGTGTCTAGTATTCTGTGTATAGTGTCTAGTGCCTAGTGTCTAGAATCTAGTGTCTAGTATTCTGTGTCTAGTTTCTAGTGTCTAGTGTCTAATATCTAGTGTCTAGAATCTAGTGTATAGAATCCAGTGTCTAGTATTCTGTGTCTAGTGTCTAATGTCTAATATCTAGTGTATAGAATCTAGTGTCTAGTATTCTGTGTCTAGTGTCTAGTGTCTAGAATCTAGTGTCTAGTATTCTGTGTCTAGTGTCTAGTGTCTAGTGTCTAGAATCTAGTGTCTAGTTTCTAGTGTCTAGTGTCTAATATCTAGTGTCTAGAATCTAGTGTATAGAATCTAGGGTCTAGTATTCTGTGTCTAGTGTCTAATGTCTAATATCTAGTGTCTAGTTCTAGTGTCTAGTGTCTAGTGCCTTGTGTCTAATATCTAGTTTATACTATCTAGTGTCTAGTGTCTAGTGTCTAATGTCTAATATCTAGTGTATAGAATCTAGTGTCTAGTATTCTGTGTCTAGTGTCTAATGTCTAATATCTAGTGTCTAGTGTCTAGTGTCTAGTGTCTAGTGCCTAGTGTCTGATATCTAGTGGATAGTATCTAGTGTCTAGCATTCTGTGTCTAGTGTCTTATGTCTAGTATCTAGTGTCTAGTGTCTAGTGTCTAGTGCCTAGTGCCTAGTGTCTAATATCTAGTGTATAGTATCTAGTGTCTAGCATTCTGTGTCTAGTGTCTAATGTCTAATATCTAGTGTATAGAATCTAGTGTCTAGTATTCTGTGTCTAGTGTCTAATGTCTAATATCTATTGTATAGAATCTAGTGTCTAGTATTCTGTGTATAGTGTCTAGTGTCTAATATCTAGTGTCTAATGTCTAATATCTAGTGTCTAGTGTCTAATGTCTAATATCTAGTGTCTAGTGTCTAATATCTAGTGTCTAGTGTCTAGTGTCTATTTATTACCTGTTCTCCATTGTCTGAGTGATATCTGCCAGGGCCATTCTCCGTACTTTGTGACTTCTCCATTCACTACTCTGGCCTCTCTAGCCTTATTCCTTTGACAAGTATTCATTGGAATTATTGTATTACTTTAAATTGTGAAGAAAAAATAAACAAAGACCACTGAAAACTATGTTTCGCAATATTTTTTTTATATGAAGTTATAAATCTAAATTGTCAAACAAGGTTTAGGATTTAAAAATTACCTGAACCCAGAATCCAGCCATGGTCTTCTTCCACAAATATCCTTATAGGAAGAATTTGTCAGGTTAAAATTATCTTTTAACCATGCAGAATCAGAATTTAGAAGTTCGTCTGAACTTGGTTCTATAGTAGATGAGTCTTCAGATACAGTATCCGTTGAAGCAGTTGATGAGTCCGAGGTTGATACTGAACTAGAAGACGTATCTGACAAAGGAGTTGTTGCAAGTCCTACCCCTGCTTCTGGAGATTCTGGAGTTGAATCTTGATCAGGGACTAAACCCAAGCCTACTCCAAGAGTAGGAGCTGTGTCTTCTGAGCCCACAAGAGGTATTGCTTCACCGTCCTCGGCCCCAACAGGAATCCAGGATTCAAGATTAGGTTTTTCAATATTTTCATCTTTCATATTAGAAACAAAAGGATCTGCAGTTGATGTTTGTGTTGTCACTTCAGCTTCAGTTTCAGTATGAATGACACTTTCAGTTGAACCTATATTTGTAGGTGAAGTTTCGCTTGTACCTGAATCATCTCCATCATGAACAGATGGTTCACTTTCAGAGGGATCTTTGGTTGTTGCAGAAGCTTCAATTGTTGCTGATTCTTCACCAATAACTAAAGTTTCTTTTTCAGCAGACATTTCAGTTGTTGCAGAAGCTGCATTTGAAGTAAACATTTCAGATGAAGAGGAAAGTTTACTGGAAAGAGTAGATTCAGTTGTAGAAAAGGCTTCACTTGAAAAGGAAGCATCACTTGAAGAAGAAGCTTCGCTTGAAGAAGAAGTTTCACTAGTAGAAGTAAAATCACTAGATGAAGCAGCTTCACTTGAAGAAGAAGGTTCACTAGATGAAACAGCCTCGCTAATGGAAGAAGCTTCACTTGGAGAAGAAGGTTCAATTATAGAAGTAACATCACTTGAAGAAATAGCTTCACTTGAAGAAGATGATTCAGTTGAAGAAGAAGCTTCACTGGATAAAGAAGCTTCACTAGAAGAAGATGATTCAATTGAAGTAGTTTCACTAGAAGAAGTTCCATCACTTGAAGAAGAAGCTTCAATTGAAGAGGACGCTTCACTTGAAGAAGAAGCTTCAATTGAAGAGGACGCTTCACTTGAAGAAGAAGCTTCAATTGAAGAAGTATCTTCGCTTGAAGAAGATAATCCACTTGTAGAAGTTTTACTAGAAGAAGTAGTTTCACTTGAAGGCGAAGCTTCACTTGACGAGAAAGCTTCACTTGAAGAAGAAGCTTCACTTGAAGAAGAAACTTCACTTGAAGAGGAAGCTTCGCTTGAAGTAAAAGCTTCATTTGAATTACTTGTCTCGTTGTCTTTTTCACGAGAATCAGGATCTTCCGTACTTTCACTTGATACTGGAACCGCTGTTGCTGCAAGTTCGTCTATTAATACAGCTTCTACTTCAAGTTCAGGTTTATTTGTTATAGGAACTAAAGTTGACACTTCTACACTATCTACTGGTATTGAAGAAACTTCTTCAACCTCTGATACTTTGGTTGTTGTAGAACCTTCTGAATGTAAAACTGTTTTTGTCACTGCTGTCGTAGTTGTGTCTACTTCAGCTGTTACGTCATCAGCTATATCTTGACTAGAACTAATATCACTACTGATAATATCATCATTAAGAATAGCACCGTCAGTTACTTCCTGGACAGATGAATCAGAAGTAGATGTCACTTTCTCATCGTTAATAGTAGAAACAGAGGCAGTGTCGACACGATTCGAATTTTGGCTTTCTGTCACGATAGGAGCACTATCAATAGTAACAGTTGTTACAACAGCTTCAGTAAAGGTTTCAACTGTTGCTTTTGAGCTTTCATCATTGATAGAGCCTTCTACTGAAACAGTTGAGCTCTCAATCCCTACTGTTGACTTTTCATTGCCAGCGGTTGAACTTGCAAGACTATCAGTTGAACTTTCTAGGCCAGCGGTTGAGCTTTCAAAGCTGGCAGAAGAGCTTTCTGTAACAGGTGTAGAGCTTTCTGTACTAGGGGAAGAGCTTTCAAGATCAGAAGTTAAGCTTTCAGTTATAGCAGGGGAGCTTTCTGTCACAGGTTCTGAGCTTTTTGTAGCAGCAGTCGAGCTGCTTATGTCAGTCTCCTAGATTATATAATATATAGAACACTCACTCCTAGATTATATAATATATAGAACACTCCCTCCTAGATTTTATAATATATGGAACACTCCCTCCTAGCTTATAGAATATACAGAATACACCCTCCTAGATTACATAATATATAGAACACTCCCTCCTAGATTGTGAAATACAGAGAACACACCATCCTAGATTATATAACATATTAAACACTCCCTCATAGATTATATACTATACAGAATTCTAGACTATACAATATATAGAACACTCCCTCTTGCGCAAAGCATGTATAATCATATGGTAGGGCGGTCTGCGTAAGTTGTATCTGCCTTCTATTTTATACTCCTTAGCCCATATATTGTGAACAATAAGTTATGAATAGTTGTTAACGTTTTTTTCGACGAAACATGTTATTTACTTCGTTGTATTTAGTTTTACATCATGTCAGATCATAATTCAGGAACCCCTTGACCGATTTCCTTAAAATTTTGGCTGAGAAAAATCGGTTGATCCACAGAAATGTTCTAAGCTTGGTTTAAAAGTCCAAATTGAGTTGGTTGAATTTCAACAAAGAAAGTTTGTTTTCAGGCAAAGCTGGTTTCCCAACCTGAGTTCCCTCATAAATAATTGTTTTTACCTTACTTCCATCCCTACTCACACAGGATAATGGTTGTATCTGCCGATCGTATCCTAGAAAACAAGACTTTTTAAATCCAAAATAATTTTTTCTTAAGAAACTTTATAGATTGGATATTCAGGTATCC